ATTTGTTTTTTAATCTTAACCCCTCTTATTCTTAAATTTTGGCTCTGCCGTTGAACCTAACTTTTCAAATTTCAACCAGATCGCTATTAAGATTAAAAGATGCTGCAAGTTAACACCAGAAACCATATCCTTGTGTGTCTCACTGCCTGGTTGCCAAGTAAGAGTTGAGCTCTTTTCCTGTGCCTCCTGTTCTAAATAACTAACCTACGAAATTTAAGGATCACGTAAGTTCTCCAAAAACTGAGCTTGAGAGCAACAGCAAAGAGGCCTCTACAACCAACAACACATTTACGCCTTTGGTTTTTCTCTCTCATTTGGTTTTTTTTAATTGGGGGCAAGAACCCAATTCAAATGCTATTCCCAAGCAGATCCACATTGCATTTCAACGGATTCTATATTGGGCCGGGCCTCCCCTCGGTCTTAACATTTAAATTGGGGGGTGTGTGTATAAGCGCTTGATATTAAATTTTTTAATAAAAATGTTTATATTTTTTATGTCTATAGCTAATTTTATGAAAAAATTAATTAAAAAATATATACTTAAAAGTAAATATGTTCTTTAAAGATTAAATTGCTATATTAGCATTCAACAGCATGTATCAACGAAAGTATTTGTTGGAGCCAATATATTGACGAAAGTTTTAATGACCCTGAATGGGTTAAAATATCTAAAAAAGGTAAAATGTTGAAATAAGAAAAACTTGAATAATCAACCGTGAAATTTAAGTGAGAAAAATATCTTATACCTGAAGCGTCAATCCTCAAGCCAATAGTAGAAGTAGACTTCCTATGATCAGGCGATAGGGTCATCTGATGACATGACACGTATTTAAAATCAATAATTTTTGGTGTGACATTTAGTGGTATTTCATAAAAATATTAAAAAGACTTTCTTGGCCCTATTGACGTAACAGAATTATCGTTTGTCGGGGGACAATTTGGAGAGTGAATGCTCCGAACAGCCAAACTTGTGGATTTGGTATTTTGGTAATTGCGAGCAAGCGACAAGCTCAGGATGAAAATTTTCAGTGACACACACTCATTTTTATATGTAACTTCATATTTATCTGTTTTAGAAGAATAAGCACTTCAAGTTTTAATCCATAACGTGTATCCTCAAAGACCCCAGACATGAAGCTACTGCATCATCATGGAGCGACTCATAAATTATATAATTGCATGTGACAGCGAAAGTTAACCTAACCAGGAGGCTACTGACAAGGAGACCGCCATCAGTTAACCCCTCATTAAATCGATGAGCATTATAGTACATTTTTGTCCTCCATTGTGTATATATCATAATTGGTACTCCCTCGGCCCTATTTATAAGTCATTTCTACCAACCTCATCAATACCAATACAATAAAAGTACAAGGAATAAAAGTAAGTAAAATTTCAAACATGCCCCTATATAACAAATCTAAAAGTAATGTCCTGTTACTTTTCTCTCTCATGAAGGGTAATTTTGGAAATACCTCTCAAATATTACCTAAAAGACGCACCGTGACTTATAAATGGGACCAAATACACCTTCTAGAATTGGACTTATAAATGGGACCGGAGGGAGTATATTCTACTTTTTTAACAAAAAAAAAAATCAACGTTTGATATATGTGTGTGTGTGTGTGAGAAAATTACAATTGAGTCCCACATAAAAAGCTTATTTAAAAATAAATTCTATGAATTTATGAAAATACATTCCAATTTTAAGGGATTTTATTATAATTAACTTACCATGTCACATGATATAAATACTTAGACTTCCGCTCCTTTGACCAGTGTTAATTAACCACAAATAGTCGTTGACTGGTGGTGGGAAGTTGTTGACTGGTGGCCGGCTAGAGTTGGCTGGTCAAAAAATATTTTAAATTAAATTATTCGTATTTTAATATTCATCACATATTTAAAAGTAACTCTTCAAGATTTGAAGCTCAAATTTCTTACATTTACAAGCTAACCTCTTACAATATTAACAAGTTAATATTTACAAATTAACTTCACATATTTAGAAGTTGAATTTCAGATATATTTACAAGTTAAATATCTTAATTTACAAGTCTAGTTTTTAAATTTGCAAACTTTAATTTTTAAATATTATAGTATTTTTTATTTTATTTTCTTTTTATTTATTAAACAAATAAATACTGAAGCATTAATCTTACAAGAGCTTGACTTGTAAATATAAAATATTTTACTTGTAAATATTGGATATTTACTTGTTATTATGTGATGTTTGACTTGTAATTTACTACAATACTTTTTGCTTTGGGCAACAATTTTTATTACAATAGTTTTAAAAATGTTGCCTAATATGAATATAAACATTTTTTAAATGTTGCTATCAATACATATTTTAAGCAATAAATATTTGGTAATGTTTGCAAATTGTTGTCTAAAGTAGAATATGCAACAATTTTTAAGTATTGTAATAAAAGTTTTAAATAAATACATAAAAGATTGTTGCTTATAATGGTACTTTTATCATAACATTTTAAAATTATTCCCTATTTTATTAGGCAACCAAAAAAAATGAATGTTGCTTATAAATCTTTTTTCTGGCAACATTTAAAAATTATTGCCTATTGTTTTTCTACTAATAAAAAATTATTTTCATTTTTTTTTGATAACTTATCTATATTCTTTTATTTTTTATTTATTTTATTTTCTAAATTTCTTATTATTAATTAGAAAATTTTAAAATTTAACATAAAAATATCTATATATATATATAATATTTTACATTATAATAAATAAAAGCCATGTTGGAAAAGTAGCTAAAATAATCTCATTATTTTAAGTGGATTAGGGTTCAAATCTTAAATGAAAAAATATTAAATTTTAATTATTTAATATTTTCACAATAATTTTTAAGTGTTCCCTATACTTATAACATATAACAGGCAACAGGCAAAAACAATTGCTTATTCAGGCTTATGATTTATGACTTAAAATATAAAAGACCGTTACCTTATAGTACAGGTAACGGTGGCAAATTTGACACCAAAAAACTGTCGCCTATATTTATATACAATAGTTTTGTACCTTACTGCAACAGTTCTTAGCTGTTGTCATAGATAAAAATATGTTGTAGTAAAAATTAAAATTTTAATATTTTAATAAAAATATTTTTTTAAAAAACCTATGTTTGACTGGTTAACGCCAACCAGGTGACTGATCAATGCTAGCTGACCTCTGGTCAACGACTGCCAACACTGGTTGAATGGTTGAGAATCCAAGGACTTTTTTTTTTATAATTTTACTTGATAAATTAATTACAGCCAAGTTTTTTAAGTTTTGAGTGATAATTTTTACAAATTCATAAGATTTATTCGTAAACAAGTTTTTCACATCATAATTTTTCCAAATCTTTCTCATTTATAGAACATACACCTAGGCATCAATTTAAATTTAGTGCAGTAGACTTTTTGATTGCTCAATATAATTGCTGCGTTACATCGAAATATGCTTTAATTCAAGCGCTCAAGGAGTTTTTATTAATTCTAAAATTTGCTTTTGATGTTAATAATTTTTTATCATTATCGTGATTCTCTGACACGCACACATATTGTCAAAAAAATTATTAAAAGTGGTGTTTAGAATTTAATTATGTTTAAATATAAATCTTAGTAGTGGTAAATTTTTTTCAAAAAAGAAAGCGATGTTGATACTTACACCAAATTTCATCAAAAAGAGACATTAGTTGGGTTAGGTGAAAAGAACCTAATACCTTCTAACAGCACGGTCGTGGGTTTATACATGAAGTTTAAATCTTCTGAAATTGATATTTATAGATTTTTATAAAGTTTTTTTCCTAATATCTTTGCTCATTATATATGTTATTTTTTATAAAACAAAAAATTTCTCTCTCTCTAAAAAAACACAAATTTCATAAAATTCATTCAACCTTAGAGAATCCATTTACGCATCATGTTATGCATAGAAAAACTTGAACTAAAGTAAATATTTTTATTTAAATTTAACTTAGGCATGCTAATTTGGACTAAGCCTACCTGGCTAGTCTAAATAAATCCAAAAAAAATTTAAGATTTGGCTTAACAAAATAACATCTTTTTCATGTCGCAGGCCAATCTACCTAAATTACTGACTCCCATTTAGCCACTCAAATGTAATTCAATAAAACTTGATAAACATAGACAAAAACAAAAAGGAGGCCCAACATTCCAAATGCCTGGAAATTATTGAAAAATTCTTAAAGGTGGGGATTTGATATTTATAGGAGTAGGTCTTGAAAAAGGAATGAGTCTCTTACAACTTTGTAAATCAAAATTTGAATCTATATTAAAAAGAAATATTTATATTTAACACTTAATTATGTCTTGAACATAATTATTTCAATGGTATGATAGCTGTGAAATAAAGGTGGGGTTTGGTAAAATTATCAACTCATTGTATCTACTTTAATTACTCAAATTATTAAGTCAAAATGATTTGCAACTTGTGCCTGCAACAGGCCATCGTTAGTCTCACCCAAAAATAAATAAGTATAAACTAAAAACCTACATTCTATGGTGAAACATTCATACAAATATATTACATTGGTTTTGTAGCATCCAATAATGAACCATGAATAAGTACACCCCTACGCCAACTTGCACCATAAAGTCACTCAATAGAATGATTTCACTCTTCACCCTTTTCATCTCCTCTGCCTCTTCCACATAATATAAAAACGTCCAACTCTGAGCACAGTAACATAAAATTGGTAGGTATGCATGTATAATACGAGAACCAATCCTCAGAGTAAATATTTGTTTCGACTGGTCACTAGTGTACATGTGTTTCTATAACCGAGACAGCGATGCTAGCTAAGACCAAGATCTATTCTTGCTTTAAGGATAAATTAAACAAACTTATAAAGCAAGGGAACGTACGCATGTAATGGATATATGATACATCATATATCTATAGAAAGGTTGAGTGGATCATATATATATATGTAGTACAAAAGGGTAAAGGCAGATAGATTACACATGTGGAGATGGAGAAAACAAAATACCATGATCATACACAAACCCACACCCACACCCACACATATATAAATGAATTAATACTATTGGCAGCTGTCCTGTCTTTTGGGAGAAATATATGAAATGTACAACAATGTAGGTGCATGGTGGGGCAGGGGTAAGTAGAAATTGTGAAGGAAGAAGAAAATGTAGATCGAGCTGGAAGAAGTAAAAGTGGTCCTACTGCTTAATATACACTGACTCTGCATCAAGTCACCTTTGTCTTCCCATTCGTTATATTCACGCGAAAAGTCAAAAGAACTTTGAATTTGTACATACATGAATCATCCACCAGCCCCCTTGGATTGTCTCGGATTTTGCCGCGCACGGGGGAAGCTCCCTCGTCATTAAGTTCTATCAACAAAAACATGACATGTTACGTGGTGTAATCCTTTCGACAAAATTTATTCGCATGCATGTCGCGTTTTTATTAAAGAACTTGGTAGATAACAGATACCTAATTAACAATAATCATATTTAATTAATTTCCCCTAATTCCTCATATCTGGCTGCTGCAATATGTATAGCTTTATAAATGGATCAAATCAAAGAGTGATGACGTTGGACTGTGATGGGTAGGCCACTGGGAAAATCGACAAAAGGGTATGCATAAGCCTGGTCGGTCTCGTCAGCTAACTCCCACTGAAAGTTGAGGATGAGATGGTGAATGAACACTGCCATTTCCAGTTTAGCCAACTCTGATCCTGCACACAGCCTCGGTCCTCCACCGAACGGCATGAAGTTGTGACTCGCTGCACTGTTGCTTCCACTCGGGCAAGAGCTTCCACTTCTACTTCCATTATTGTTGCTGCTGTTGTTCTGCACCAAATCACTTCAATAATTACACAAGGACTCGTCTATTCTGATACATACGTTTCAGTATATACGAACTCAAATGCTTCTCTAATACAGTAAACAAGACAAAGGCCATATCCCACGATCTGAGGCAGAAGATGGATGATAGATTTGGTTTTCTTCTGGTGGTGGCGGTGGTGGTACCTGTCGCTTTCATATTGTTATTTGTTATAAATTGACATGCCGTTTTGGGCCATTTCTCACTTGCCACTAGCTAGAGCTAGAGCTGCAGCCACATAGCTTTTTCTCGATTTTTAACTTTGAGATGTATTTTATTTATGGCAATAGTTAAAAAAGAGAGTATTAAATTAGGGGTTAGGACCAGGCAGGGAGGAAAAAGAGAAAAAGGCACAAATGCACGTGCACGTGAGAGCCCCACTTCCACATGGGCGTTAATGATCATCTGAACCTCCCGTGGCCCTTGCCCACACGTTCACAAAAGGAGCCATGATCATTGATCATCATCATCATCTTCCTCGCAGCGCATCCACCGGGTCCCACCCGGCCCCCGCACACGCATCCTTCTAACCCTTTTATATCAAAAATCTCTTCCTCGATGATCATGACAGTTCATCTCAATGATATCTCAGCACAACGTTAATCAATCTTACCATCGACCCCCTCTTCCTCTCTTGTTGTGTTGTTCCTTGTAATGTACCTTTTATCACCTTCCTATTCGTGATACACTTGCCCTAACGGCTTCGACGAAGATGGCCCTGGACCCCGCAGTGTCCTACATCCAGTGGATGGTGTTGTTTCGCTATGCACCCCGTTAACATATCTATATCTATATCTATATATATATATTTTGTTGATTAATGTACATGCTTCAAAGCAAAAGAATAACCCTAGTCATTTCCCGGGCATTCTGAAGAAGATGCTTTTGAGAAGCAATAATGATTTGATCATGCCATTTAGTTCAGTGACCACCATAGGTTTGAATTGAAGGTAAGATTCTAAAACTATAGGATTTATAAGCATGAACCTGAGTAGTCAACAACGCATATAGTTTGTAGGTTGGGGGCTTTTTTTCAACGCCGTACAAGAGTGTACCAACGTGGGAGGCTGGGAGGTATGAAATGCCGTACCTAATAAAAATCGTGTCGTGTTCTAGAAAGGAAGGGGAATGGAAGATAACATACAAGAGGAGAAGACTAGAACTACTTTTTTGGCAAAAACCCAACCCCCTCCATTCCACTCTGTTTGAGTATTTGGTTAAGAGACGGAGAATGAAGAAAGTGGGAGTGATTTGATGTGGGGATCCACAGGGAAGTACCAATTGAAGCGCTCGGGGACATCTGGCTCTCATCTTTTGATTCCCATGATTTTTTTTTTTTGGGAAAAAAAAGGCCATGGCTTTAGAAAAAGGGACAATAATTATAGGGAAGGCGTGCTGTCTAGAGCTACAAGCATTAAGCAGAGAGAAGGAAGTGACCTGCCATCTCCATGGATTGAAGTGTTGAGGTTGGTCAAAAAGTGAAGGATCCAGATGCACGGCTGAAATCACAGGCAAGACTTTCCATCCACATGGAATGTCATAACCTTTCCAAAGAAAAGGAAAAAAAAAAAAAAACAAAGAAAGAAAGAAAAACACACCCACAAAGTATTAAACATTTTCTTCATAAGAATAACCTAAAAAGAAAAACAAAATTGAATTATGAATTATCCATCCTCCTACCTTTATACCTAACATCTTTGAGAGCCTTCCTGTGAAGGAACCTCACAACGTTTCCCAGCCGAAGTGTCTCGTTCACAACCTTCACAATCAAGGTAGCAATTTACTGACTCTGAACTAATGTCTTTGACTCATCAGTGCTAACTTCTAAGCAGTCAAAAAAACTTGGGAGAAGAGAGGGAACTTACACAGTGAGTAAATTCCATACTTTTGTAGTCTTCCCAGGTCAATTCCGTTTCTCCTGCTCCCTTCTTCATTTTGGCTATTTTTATGTGTTCTTCCTACAATTTTCCAGGATAATAATGATGAGATCATACGTGTAAAATAAGATTTTAAGTTCTGTAACTGCATAATTTTCGTAGTATCGATCACTGTCGTCGTACTTGCTTACCCTTAGTTGCTGTATAGCTCGAGGACAACCGGGCAAGAAGTAAATAGCAAGAGCTATGGCTACGGACGAAGTTTCATGTCCAGCGAACAGCAAGCTCAGAATCAAGTCGAGAATTTGTTCTGTTGAAAGATTCGAATGCTTCAGAACCCAGTTCAGAAGATCATCCTCCTCCAGAGTTTCATTCCCCTCCTTGATTCTCTTCACTCTTTCTTCCATTTTGCCCTCTATGAAATTCAGTATGGTTGACCGGGACTGAAACAAACAGTAATCAATTAGTACAACTGAGGGGTGCTCTAAGATTTAAAGCTTGAATATTCTCACCTTTAAGGCCTTCCTGTACGCGGTTCCAGGAAAATTCAGAGGAGCTGAAACCACCCCCTTCATGAATGTCACATACTCTTTCTTTAATTGCTCTGTTTCAAGATTCCCAGGATCCAAACTCATAATATGATTTGCCATCAAATTGAAGGTGAACTGCAATCCAAACGAAACACCCTTTTAGTTCTCACTCCTTTCTTTCACTTCAAATCAATGGACTCAGCACCCAAAAAAAAAAAAAAAAACTTTACCTTCTTGGCTTCATCTTGAGCAGAGAACGTACAATTTTCCCTCCATGAGCTAAGAACAAGTTGGGTATGCTTCTCAACCTCTTTCAGCAGATGTGTCCGTAGCCTCGCATGGCTGAGAAAATTCAAAGATATAACCCTCATGTCTCTGTGCATGTCACCCACCAACACCAACATAGACCATTTTCCCAGGATTCCTCCAATGCTTCTGGGATAGCTACATTCGAACAATTTCCCTTCGTTCTGTAATATATACCTGTTCAGCCCTGCATCAGCTGACACTATAGCCGGTTCCCCAAACAACTTGGACTTGTAAATCTTGCCATACCTGAAAACAAGAGACAAGTTTATGAGCCGCACGAAGTTGTAGAGAAAAGTATAGAGCAAAACTTCGTACCTCGCTATGTGCTGCTCCATGTACTCTCCAACAGTGGTAGCAGAGTAAGGCTTCAAATAGGCAATGGTTTCACCAAGAAAAGGCCAGCCCATCCTTCCAGGGGGGAGATTAAGCCTGGGTTGCTTTCTTCTGAAGAGGATGAAGATGAGAAGGACAGGAAGGAAGAGAGATATAATAGAACAGAGAGCCAGGGGAGAGTCAGACATGGAGGGAGGCTTGTCTGATGTTGTGGCGTAATCTATGTATATATGTTCTGATATCTCTCTGTTCTAAGCAAAAATAAAAGCTGGGAGAGTGCAGTTTTCAATGAGGGAAAAGAAAAAGAGAGTGAAAAGGGGCTTCGATTTTGTGGAGTAATAAAATGAAGAAAAAGGGCAGGAGGAAGGTCTCAATGAAAGCTTGAAGAAGCCAATAGGTTGCTTATATAAGCTTCTCTTTGTGTCTTTAAGCGAAAACAGCGGAAAGTAGCGACCCCAAATTGGCTTTACACTTGGAAAATGATGTCCTCTGCCAATCAGACCTTTTAAGTTATATGTTTATACTTTAAACCCAGTTTGATTAACTCATCACTTTTATTAATTTATTTCTTTGTATTTAATTCTATGTGCTACGTTCCTCCCCTCCATGAATGTCCCTTGTGCTTTAGATTTTTGGCGGAACCCACTCCAAACTTAAAAAAAAAAAACCATTTAAACGCCAAATTACCATTATTGTCCCAAATCCCATAGTCACTAATTTGGCTTAAACCACGGGCTAGTAGTCCAAATAAACATGAAACATTTCAGGAGAGGATTTAGAGAAATACCTTTTTTTTTTTTTTATAATCGGTCTTATTTGAGACAATCCTTGTATTTTTTTTTTTCCTATTGTTGAACCAACTCTCAAACTTTGTTCATGCTATTGTTATTTTCAAGATATGTCTTGTTCAGTTTATTATGTGCTGCAATGTTTTATTACTTGAAAAAAAAACTTAATTTTTGAAAGTAGAAATTGAAGTTGATTTCAAAAAAAGAGTTTGGCCATGTGAACTTTTTAAATTTCTGCACTGAGCGAGGCTTGTCCAAGTTAATGGCTCTGCCCAACGCCCCCCCCCCCCCTCACACACACATTTCGTTCGAGAGAGAAGGGGAAATGATTAATAATTAGTAATTTTTTACTCAACCTTTGTTGCACTAAATTCTAAACTTTAAATTGATCGCGGAAAATAAAACTTTTTGTTATTTAAATTTGACTCATTTATTGATTTCACCTGTTAAATTTAATGTTATTAATTTAATCTCTTAAATTTTTTAATTTTGTCTTTATTATTTAAAGAGGGTGTAACATTATTAAAATCTACTAGTATAGAAATCAAAATATTGACTATAGCTATGTAAATTAATGAAAAATGTAATTATTTATACAAAAAATGACTAATTATTTTTAAAAAACAAAGAGCAAAACACAAATTAAAGAATTAAATTGATTTGAGAATTAATTTATTCTCATTTAGCTACACATACATGCCATATCATTAATATACTTTACACATTAAATTAATTTAAGAATTAATTTGTGTTTCTAAGCTTAAATTAAATGACTAACATGATCATTTAAGACAATTTAAAATTAAATTGATAGTTGAGATAAATTTGAGAGTGAGACTACAAGTTTCACTATCCCATTGATTAAATATGATTCTTCATATTCAACTTAATTAAATTAAGTCAAACAAGAAATCAATTAATCTTTCTTTCAATCTCTTTAATTTGATTTTTATTTCCATATTTAAATTATCCACACCATATGTGTATTTAAATATGTAATTATTAGTGGTACCCCTTTAATTTATCCCCATTTTGACTTGATTTAGGGAAAAGAAGGAAGAAAGATAGATTGTGGGCAAGAATTTCATAGCTTAGTAACCTCGTTGATAATTTTTAAGGAGAATGGCATTCAAGGCCAAAAAAATAGAGTGTAGGCTTAGAAAAACAAAAGGTTTAATGATGCACAAGATAATGTTCAATGATTTACTTTTACATGCCAAACTTTTTATTGTTTTGAACTTCCATTATCATTTTTTTTTCTATTTGGGGACTCTAAATGTGGTTCTCCTTGGCTTATAGACAATATAATTTTTTTTATAAATTTTATATATAAAATAGATATATCAATTTGTATAATAAATTTTTGACTAAAATATACATTTAGTTCTTTAACTTTATTTTAATCCCACAATTTTATAAAGTATTTTTTTGATTCTTTAACCCTAACATTGTAGTTTTATTTTAATAAATTTTTATATTGAATTAATTTTTTAATATTGATAAAATATTTTTAAATGTTGATATATTTAGTTTAAATTTTTGTAAAATAATAATGATTGACATAAAAAATTATTTAAAACTAACAATATTAGGGTTAAAGGTTTAAAAGTATACTTTACAAAATTAAAAAATTAAATTAAAATTTTAAATGAAGTTAGAAGACTAAAATAAAATATACTTTAACCTAAATTTTTTTTCTCTACTTTCTCTACTTATGTATGACATTTAGTCTTGATGTTGAAAATAGAAAATAGAGCCAAAATTAGTATTTTTTGTTTTGTTTTATATTATCAAACCAAACCCATCACGTTTTTGGACACTCACACACTGCCACCCCCTAAATGACTGGGTAGGTCGATGTATTATAATCAATTTAAATTATTCTCTATAAAAAAGAATTAATTTACATTATTTATTTTTATCAATAAATGCATAAATTTCTCAAATAGTTTCATTTTTTGTATCACCCTTATACTAGGATAATTACATTTATATCAAGCATCTTAAGAAAAATTTGTTAGTATATCTTTAATTAACTCAAAAAAATGTTAACTCCAAATATGGCCTTATTTATTAGGAATAATTATGACTTTATAAGCATGATTCTAATTACTTCCAAGTAAAGCTAATTTGGGTATGCGAGCTTACTTGAGTCTGGCAAAATGTTTATATAATTCAGCCCAGTATCATAAATGTTAGAATTTTTTATAGTTTTATTTTTTTGAGCTAGTTTCAATATTTGCTTCAAAAAATTATGATTTTTCACAACATTGAAATTTTTTCTAGAAGTGCAAAGTGTGTGAACTGGGAGTCTGGGAGAGAATTTTGTGAGTGTAAAGTGAATATTGATTTTATTTTATGAATGAAAAAAAGAATGTGGGCATTTGAGCAAACACTTTTTTGTTTGATTTTGGATTGAATTTCTTTGAATTTATTTAGTTGCCTGAATAAGCTGGAAATATGGGTAAAACAGATTTCTAAACTCTCAAACTCAATCCTAAAACTTTTTAGGCTTATTTGAGTTATTGGCTCACTAGACTTAGCCTAAATTATTGGTTCTATTTCTAACATTAATGCATAATTGTAAAAACAAATAAATTGTTATGAGACAAAAGTAGATTAGCCTTTCACTTCTAAAAATTGCTCTAATAAAAGATCACAGGGAGTGTACTGTATAAATGATCTATTCCAATGTAAAAATGACAAGCAAAGGAAAGCATTCATTCTTACTTTAACCTATTATTGGCTATTCTTTTTGTTATTGTTGATCTTTTAACATTTTGAGGAATCAAATGTTTGGATGAAATTAAATTGACCTTTAAAAATATTGAGTTCTCCTTTTTTGGTGAACATCCACTATGGTATAAGACTATCAATCACTAATTTGCCTTTAACTGGTTGACTTGACTTGGACTTTAAGGATGACTAATTGTGTTGTAAATTGTCAATGAGAATAATTAAGGGTTAAAGGATAAAAATATCTCAAAAATTTCTTATGGGTGCTTGATATCTTGAATTTCTTTTATAGAGTAATGTTTTCCTTATACTTTCAAAATTAGTACAATATCAACTATTGTTAAATTTGATGAACGTTAACTGTTAAAATGAAATTTGACCAAAGCTCTTTTACCTCTTCCTTCACTTGACTTCTTTTAACTCTTCTCCTACGAGGCTAATGGGGTTCTTCCTTCTTCATAACAAACCACAAAAATTGAATCTTCAATTTATTCCTCTGCTCTTTCTTTCATCAAACCTAACTTTAAACTCCAACTTCACCTAATGGTTGGTGTAGCTCTACCTCAAAAATTTTTTGATCCTTGATGTTCAATCACCGCTAGCATTTAACAATTTGCATCACCAAAACTTAGTTTTTGATCAAGGGCTGCTTACTTTTGACTAGGTGCTCTTCATCAACTTTGATTCATAATCAACAAAAGTTGAGTTCACCAATAACCCTGTCGAGTTCAATGTGGTGTTTGTTACCATGATGAGAAAGCTTGGGAAGGTTTGGGTCAAGACTAGGAATGAAGGGTAGATTAGGATCAATTGTTTTAAATTCAATTCTTCATCATATTTTCATTTTGTGCTTGGTGTTCAAATAGTAATTAATGTGTTGTAATTCGATGTAAGGGTTAAATAATATTTCCAATGGGGGAAGATTTTGTATTTATGTCACTCTTGGTTTTTCCTATAGTCTCTTATGATTACTGATCAACAAAATGATACACTTCTTCTCTTATAAACATTGCAAATTCAAGTTAAAAGTCAAAGTTTAAAGTATGGAAGAGATGGTCTACTTTCTCTCACAAGCACTATGTCTAACAGGAAAAGAGGAATTCACATCCTAGTTTAGTTACAAAGAAGAGAGCTTTCTTTGAAACCCATGGCCCTTTTTCCTAGTGTCCTTTTACCGATAACTAATATTCCCACAGATAATAAGGAGCACCCACCTGCTCACATTCTTCATGCATAACATTCTCACTTGAAATATCTTGTCATATTCTCACTTCACTAAATATAATTAACCAATATAACTCCTGGTAATCAGAGACTAAACTCAAAAAGATGATTACCAAGGTTTAATTCAAAAGTAAGGTATCCCATGTATTTTAAATAAAAATGAGTTTAAATCAATCAAAATCTTTCATATCAGAGTAAAAATAAATTACAAAAATATGAGATACCTCAAAGGAGTAAAAGAAGTCAAAAACGGATGAAAAACAAAACATGTATTGTGATACAGGGCAATGCACCACGGCGTGTTGCACAAAAATTCAACTGATTCTATTGTCATTTAACAGCAGAATCAGGGAACTTTTGACATGCCCTGGTTCTCCGTCCAATGTTCGAATGACATGATTTAGGTGTCTATGAAAAACTCTTTATGTAAACTAGCTAATGGTATGGGTTTTATTTTCAAAACAAGTCACACTAGAAAGTTGGACACCCAAACATATTTTAACTATTTTTTACAACTTTCACGCAAAATGGGTGTCCAAAAACCTCAACATGTGCCAAAAGCTTTTCCTAACACCTGGACCATGTCCAATGAACCTAGAACTACCAGTATAACATGTCACAAGTACTAAAAAAATAGTATAACAAAAATTCACTTCTCAACCCCATTTCATTAAAA